TTCTTAAGTAGAAAAAAAAATATTGAAGAATGAAAAGAACAACAAGTATTCAACATTTTGCTGGTAACTAGAAATGTTAAATTAATTTTTCTGTTGTTCTGTTTCAGTCATACTTTGGAGAAACTAAGAAAAAAAAAAAGAAAGGAAAAAAAGTGTAAAAAAATTTGATGAACTGTTTAATCTGTAAAAATGACAAAAAAGTTGTGTTAAAGAATACGATTACTACTTCTCCAGAAGAGGAAAAAAAAAAGCAGTCTAAAGAAGAACAATTTTTTGTGTGTGTTTGTATTTTGTCTTAGTGTTACCAAATTTTTAATTATAATGATCTATTATTGTCCTGATAGCAAATGGTGTTTACAGAAACAGTTTCTGTTAACAAAATTGAACTGACGATGACGATGATGGTGGTGGCAATGGTTATCAACCGACCACAGGTGCACCTCAGTTCAACGATACAACGACTGTTGTGCTGTCAGCAATTTTGAACGAGTGTCTAAAGTGGACATTTTTTTTTCGTCTTTTTTTTTTTAGTGTTTACCGAATGTTCTGATGACAACTTTTCCTGATTTTATACTGTAAAAAAGCAAAAAGCAAAATAATTTAAAGAATTATTATACTCACGTTTTCTTCAGTATGTTCATCAGTCAGAAAATCTTCTTGAACAAAAAAAACAAACTTTTTTTTGCATTTGTTGTAAGACACTTATTTGTTGTCCTCTGTCCTCTTATCGCTTTGTCACCCCTCCCACAATTATTCCTTTTTTTTTTTTTTCTTTTCCTTACTCCTTTAATTCGTTCCTTTTAACCGCTTTTTTTCTGTCCTTTTTTTTTCTGTTTTTTTTTCTTGTCTTCTCACAACTTTTGTAAAAAAAAAAGCAAAAGAAAAAACGAAAAATCTAAGCCAAAAATAGAAATTTGCCTTCAAAATCAACTGTACAACTAGTTAGCGCTTTGTTATCTGAATCTTTTTGTCGTTACAGGTGATAGCAACAGCATCTTAGAATATTTGTGAAACATTTTTTGTAATCTTTCACGTTTGTTGTAAACGAACAACAAAAGATATAATCAGAAACGAAAAATGAATTTTGCAAAAAAAAAAAAAAAAAAAGTTGAGCTGAAGAAATATTCAATTTTTTTTCTTTGTTGTAAAACAAGTAATGTCTTAAAGAATTATTTTTGTTGTTTTTCTTTTTGTTAACGTTCAATCGATTCGCTTGAAACGGTTTTGGTCAAATTTTCTGACGATCTTGTTTGTTGAACAGCGATAGTAAACTAGTCTAGATATCTGACGATGCTGATGTTAATAAACATCTGAAATGTTCTCTTCACACGCCTATTGATGCTTGTTGCTAGGCTTCTCTGCTAATAGTTATATACGTTAGTCTAAATAAGTAAAAAATAAATGATTAAAAGACGATAAAAAAGAATTACGAGATCGTTGACGTCTTGGGAATATGTCCGAACTTGATGCCCAAATGGGTACATTAAAATCTGTGAATAACTGTGGAAGGTCAAGAAGGTTTTGATCTGTCCACGTCGCGGAGTTAAGAAGTCTCGAACTGCTCTAGTTTCTGGTTCGCTGAATGCATAAGCACCCTGAAGCAATAGAATGATTAAATTTAGAAGATGCAGGCAATAAGTGAAGCTGTATTTTAGCTAAAGCTTGGTTATTTTATTACAAAATTTGTTTTAAAAAGATCGAAAAAATTACCAAATTATTTTAGAAGATAAAAGATAGTCAATTTCACACTTATCTTGCAAACTTCCTTAAGATTTTCATTTTTTTTATTTTAGATCAAATTTCGATGCTAAATAAGTATAATATTCATCTCATAACTGAACTAATCTTATTTTTACAGTATCGTACATGAAACAGAAAAAAATTGTCTGTAAGTGCTGTACTGCTTAAAGGTGTTGACAGAACAAAAATTATAAGTAGTAAATTTACATTTATTGCTGCAATTTTGTTTTACAGTAATTGGGAAATTTTTAAAATTTTGCAAAAAATCTTGAAACTTTAGAAGTTTTCTATAAATGTTGTGTTTTTAAATTGTCAATTAATCAGTGTAAGTTTAATTCAATAAATTAGCAGTGAATAAGTTTTAATGCTGAAAAAAAAAAAACAGTTTTAAGATGAAAAAGGAAAAAAAAGCCAGTGTAATCAAGGCTGAACTTTAACAGTGATTTTCACGCAGTTTTCTTCTGCTTGTTTAAAAATTAATGTCATTTTTTGGCAACTAAAAAAAAGTTTCTGAACATTTATCAGAGAAGGTTGCATTAAAAGAATATTAATTTAGAAAACATTAAAAACTGGTTATTTTGTTTAATAGAAAGCTAACAGGTACAAAAAAAAAAAAGCTGTTTTTTTTTCAAAAAAAGACGAAAGTCATTTCAAAAGCAGAAGAGGTGAGAAACTGGTCAATCATTAGGTACAAGAAACCTGATAAATTTCTGAGCATGGATCCGTCGATGATCCTTCAACACCAAAGTGCCAGTCGAAGTTACGGTTCAGGTCTACTCCTTGGCAGCACTGCACTTGTGGCTGTATGTAAGGACCTGAACGATTCTCATTACTTTTTTTTTTCACACTACCAATTTAAGCAAAAAAAAAAAAAAA